CCCGCCCAGTCGCCCTCGTCCTATTCGCTCCCCCTCCTGCTGTGCAAAGTGTTCAGGTGGCCGGATCTCAGGCATTCCTCGGAAGTCAAGAGGCTGTGTTGCTGTGAATCTTACGGGAAGATCAACCCGGAGCTGGTGTGCTGCAACCCCCATCACCTTAGTCGACTCTGCGAACTAGGTGAGAAGTTGTTCGGCGCCCACCCCCTACCCCCGGCGCTGCAGTGATGGAGGAAAAGCCCCCGTGGGCTGTGTGTGTGGGGAGCCACCGCTCCGGAGGGGAGTGTTCAGCCCTTCCTGGTGGGAGACTTGGGGACGAGTGAAGAAGGGACAGGGAAACTGGAGGGCGTTCCCGGGGGTTCCCTTACAGATGCTTCTCCTATGCTGTCCCGGTGGCGGCTGTGGCGCGGCTCGTGCACACTCTGCAGACAGGCGGTTAGAAATTAGGCGTCCTCACTTCCGGATCAGCCAAGGGGTGCAGAGAGAAGTAGGGGTCACGCCTCCCCCGCACCCGGAAAGGCGTTGAGGTGTGTGGCCGAGTTGGATTTGGTCCAAGCCCGCCAAGGAAGGCTAGGAGAAGCGAGCTGTAAAGGCTGGGAAGTCTCTGCTCCTTTAGTCAATACGGAGAGTCACTCGGGCGCAGGGGCCCGGATACTGCCCTGGCCGCGCAGCTTTAGGGATCCGGGGGCAAAGAGGGTTAGGATGGGAGGCCGGACCCTCACAACTCTACCCTCCACGCTGCCAGCCCAGGGTCACAGAGAACAAGGAGTCCGAAGTTGGTTGCTCCCTGCTTCCCTTTCTTCCCGCCCCAGAAAGCACAGCGTTCACTGTAGGGGGTGGTCTGCCGGCCCCTCCGGCGCTGCCCCTTCCTGCGCTGGGCCTGGACCGAGACCCCAGCCGCCGCCTCTCTGTCCGCGCGGCCTCCTCCACTGCTTCCCTTTTTTCTGGGTCTAGGTGCAGGGTGGGGGAAGGGTGCGCCCCGGTGCCAACAGAGCCTCCTAAGTCCACCAGCGCACTTGGGGTGTCTCTGGGGTGGGCTGGGAAGGGGAGCCGGG